TATGGCTTTAATGCCCATATTCTGAGATATACTGTATGTCTCTGTGTTTCCATCATTCCAATACAATGGAGGATAATAGGGTTTTAAGTTTTTGGAGCTTAAACATCTGACACTTAACAGCAATTTATCATGGACAGCTTTTGTTGGACCACTTTTTTTTATTTTAATTAAAAAAAAGCAGTTCCTTCCATCTATCCATTACCTACACTCCTTATTCCTAAAAATGGCCATGGGAGACCTGGAGCCAGTTCCAGGTGACATTGAGTAAGAGGTGGGGTAGACCCTGGACAGGTCACCAGTCACAGAAAAGTCATCACAGAAAAGACGTTCCTCGTGAATTCAATTCAGTTTTATTTGTATAGTGCCAAATCACAACAAAAATCATCTCAGGGCACTTTACATAGTAAAGTCTGTACCTTACAGTATTATAGATTAAATTTTAATTGTCAAAGTCCAGATTAAACTGATTTTGATTAAATTTAATTTGATTCTTGTTGATTCACTTACATCAGACAAATACCACAACCAGTACTGAGTAATCCATCTATTGTCATCTTTACTTGACTCCAGGAGAGCCCTGCACAAGAATTCCTATATGCCTGTTTATGCATAAATGGCAAATAAAAATCTTGAATCTTGAATCTTATCCAGGGTCAGGTTGTGGGGGTAGTAGGTTCAGTAGGATGGTCCAGATTTCACTCTCCCCAGCAATGTTCTCCAGCTCCCCCGGCAAACCCAAAGGTGTTTGCAGGCAAGATTAGATGTATAATCCGTCCAGCATATTGTGGGTCTACCCTATGGCCTCCTGCTGGTTGGACGTGTCCAGGAAACCTCCAATGGAAGATGCAAAGGAGGCCTAATCAGATATCCAAACCACCTCAGCTGGCTCCTTTAGACTTAAAAGAGCAGCAGCTTTACTCCACATTCCATCTGGATGTCAAAACCCATTCTTTCACTCACTACCCAAACCTTGTGACCATAAGTGAGGGTTAGAACATAGATTGGCTAGTGAACTGAAAGCTTTGCCTTCTGGCTAAGCTTCCTTTTCACCACAGCAGTATAACACCTCCATTATTGCTGATGCTGCACCAAGTCGCCTGTCAGTCTCAAGGTCAACTTTATCCTCACTTGTGAACAAGACCTAAGGTAGAGTAGAGTAGAGTAGAGTAGAGTAGGTACTTTATTGATCCCACAGTGGGGAAATTTCTGTGTTACAGCAGCAATAGAGAACAACCAACATAATACCATAAGAACAGAACTTCATAAAAACACGGAAAAGAACACAATGAGGACACAGCTGCTGTAACTTGCCGCCACTCCGTGCGGCGCATGCATACGTAAGTACGTAAAGAGACATAAACTCCTCTGGTTAAATTACATTCATCAACTGAGCAACACCTTTGTTTTCTTGAATATAAAACTACTTAAACTGCGCATTATGGCTGGTTATGATTTAGTCTGCACAAATAGAGATAATAAGACGGGAGGTGGAGTGGCCTTGTTCATAGATAACAACCTTTGTTATAAAAAACTGGAAAATATGTCAAGGGCAATCGACAACTTGCTGGAGTGTGTGACGGTTGAACTACTACTAGAAAAAAAGAAAAATGTTGTAATAAGCTGTATTTATAGAGCACCTGGTGCCAGCATAGACCAGTTTAATGAGTGGATGGAAGAAAATTACCTGACACTAAGTCATAAATCAATGTTCATATGCGGTGACTTCAATATAGATTTGTTAAATCCAAACAAGCACACAGGAACTGAGGAGTTTATTAACACAATATATAGATGTAGTCTATATCCAAAAATTACAAAACCAAGTAGAGTAACAACTCAGCATGCAACATTAATAGATAATATATTTACCA